TAAATTCAAATCCAAAGGCCTCCTAGCTCCAGAAGGTGGATTAGCATGTTATCAAGTGCCTTTAATTATTTGTTTCCTTGTTTCTGGGCAGTTGCTGTCTAAGGAGATTTGGGTAGTTTGGTGAGGCAGCCTGCTAGAATCAGTGGTTGAGAGGTTGCTCTGGCCTAAATGTTTGCATCTCTCAGTTCAGAAGCAGGGAGGAAGGTTTTGCAGGTGAGATGAGAAATGCACACCTGGCACTGGGTGTCAGGTAAAACGACCCTCTGAGCGTGAGCTGGTAAAAGAAATGACCAGTTCAGGTTCTGCTCTATTCATGCTGGTGTCAAGGAAAGTTTCCTGTCTCACCACCCAGGAGGCCTCTGACAGTCACGCCCCAGCACCAGAGACTGTCACTGCAGGCACCAAAGCCCCTTCACCGTGGGCAGCTGCCCCACTCCACTCCCTGCACACACCACGCTCACAGCCAGACCAGGTTTCCTCTCCAGCTTGGCACTGGCTTTCCCATAGTGGAGTCTCAGGCCTCTGGATCTTTCAAGCACTTTAGTCATGGCACAGTAGCACAGAGGCAGCTCAAGCTGGGTGCCTCTGAGGAGGTAAGCCAAACTATTGGATCCCTGGGATTTTGTGTCCTTCCTGTCTGTGCACATGATGACTGGGGTGTCTTGAGTGTCCAGTCAGCTGGCTGGTGCCACAGGTCCCTGTGCCCTTTGCAGTGCAAGGCCTGGCACCATGCTTGGGACTCCCAGCACTTCCCCACAGCCTGCAGCTCCCTCCCATTGCAGCTGCTGCCTGAGCTGTCTGTACTGATTGTGTTCCTCCCCACTGGAACTATTTCACGTTTCACTCTCATGGGGAGCTGTCCTTGGGCAGCTCTCAGAGCCCCACTCAGTCCCTCCTGGACTCTCACTCTGGAATAGGCCAGGGGTGGAAAATAAGGTGGAACTGCTCATGAGTCATGACAAAGACAGGGGAATCACTCCCCAGTTATTCTCACAGACAAAACAGACTTGAGACAGAGAAAATTAGTTTAATTTATTGCCGATTGAAAACAGAGTAGGATGATGTAGAACATGCACACAACTAGAATATTTGATCTTCACCCCCCAGTAATCTCAGCCTTAATTTCACACATTTAGGGATCATCTAGCAGCTCCTCTCCTAAGGAGTCGAAGAAACAGGGAATGTTGTTGTCAGTTCATTAAAAGTTGTCTCCTTCATTTTTCTCCTGCTCCAGCATGGCAGCCTCCCATGTCCTTCAGGACTTCTCTTTTACCAGAGAAGACACAATGGTCGCTGATGAGAAGAGCAGTGTCTAGTGTTGGGACCATTGGAGTGCCTGGAATTGGCTTTTCCCAGCATGGGACAGCCTTGACCTCACCTGGTTGAGACCCCACAGGCTCCCAGCTGCAGCTCCTGGCCCAGGCACCCTGTACATTTGCCTGTGGGTCATTGTGAGATGAAGCTGTGGCTTCATTCCACACTGCACCTTGCACAAAACCCACCTTCCTGGGGCTGTAAGTGAGCCAGAGTGCAGTGGGAAAAGCCAAGCTCATCTCCAGGTGAGACCAGGCCAGGAGAGTAGTCTGTGACCCGGGGCCACTCTCAACTATTTGAATGTTGGTTTGGGGGGGCTGTGCTCCACAAACATCGTAGATGTTTTTCTGTGATGGAGAATGTTTTGATTTTAATACTGATCCCTGTTTGATCAGTGTCAGGCTTCAGGATCTGGGTTCTTCTGTCCCTATTTTGCCTATGATCATCATGCAGAGCCCTGGCTGTGCTCAGCAGGTCAGGGGACTTGTTGTTCTTTTCAGTCTGAACCTTCAGCCCACATGCTGGAGAAGTGGAGTTCATTTTGATGCCTCATAGGCATCGAAATCCAGGTTGGTTTTTCCAATGGCATTGCCTTAAGAGAAAATGATGAGACACATATTGGGGCAGGTGATGGGAGACACAGGAAGCAAACGTGGTATTTATAATAAGTTTTATTTGGTGCATATGACGTAAAAGGGTAAAAATCAGACAAGTCACTGTGCCAGGCTTCCCATCTCATCTGCTTGGGAAAGTGAAGGCTTTCAAAGATGGCACCATGCTGAGTTTCCTCGACACTACTGTGCCCTAAAGTTTCCAAATGAATTTAGACCCTGAAAGCTGTGAGGTTTTTCCCAGGCAAGTTGTGTTAAGCTCTGTGGGGCATGGACTGCCCGTGCCCTTTGGGGTAGTACAGGACCTGTCCCATTTGGCCTTGCACATCAGGACCACAGCAACCAAGGAGATCTCATCTCATGCTGTGGTAGAAGCAGGAAAAATGAAAGCCCAAGCAAGAGCTCTATGGCTACAGGAAACGAACCCCCAGCATTTTCTCTCTTCCAAATGATGACAGCCATGTTTTCTGTGGGATAGAACAGCCAGCAGGATGTTACATGAATATTCATATCACATGCTCCTACTTGCATTCATTGGCCACCATACAGACTTGGAATGTGACCCAGAGCGGTTTTCCATTCTCTTCCAGCACTGGGCAGCCATTCCCATTGAGTTCTGGCACCTGTCATGTGTCAGCTTCTCCAGGCTGGGCACATCCTGCATCTGTGCCCATGGGCTGTGCAGGGTGGCTGTGCTGCTGGACACCCTGTCCCCTGCAGTGCCAGCTGAGTGGGGCTGGTGCACAGGAGCGGGATTCTGTGCTGGCTGTCACATTCTCAGGGGTTTCATGGGGAAATGGAAGGAGGGATTCATCTGTGGTTCTGTGGGGCTGTGGTGTTTTGTGTGGTGACATCTGCAGGGTGCTGGATTTTGCCTGCTGAGTCTTGTGGCATATGAGGTTGGGACGGGTAAATGTTGCAATAGATGTAGGGAATGAGATGGATCTTCCAGAGTTTTCCTGTGTAAGTGATCAGGTTTATCAGGTTAAAGGTTGAAGTGCATGAGCAGCAGCCAGAGGGGAAGAAGGGATGTGTGGCTGCTTCTATTTTTTGAAGGCCTTTCATAGGGAGGTATGTTCAGGAGAGGTGCTTACAATCTGCCTCTGGACCTGAGCTGCTGGTAGAAGTGACCAATTCAGGTTCTGCTTTGTATTTGTGGGCACTATTTCATGTTTCACCTGCTGTGATGGGTTGCCCTCAGGGAGAAGCCAGAACTCCAGTGAGCTCTTCCTTCTCTCGAACCCACAGGAAGGGCAGGAGTGAAAAACACGGTGAGAATCCTCAGGGTTCGAAATAATGGCAGGGAGATCACTCACCAGTTACTATCATGGACACAATGCATTTGACACCAGGAAAATGAACTTAATTTATTTAAAAAAAGAAAATATAGCAGGATAATGAGGAGGAAATGGAAAACTTGATCACACTCCCCCCATACCCCTTTCATCTGAGGCTCAACCTCCTTCCTCCATCCCCAGCTCCTCCCTAACAGCAGCAGAGGAGCAAGTCAAATAGGGGCTGCAGTCAGCTCTTAACAAGTTGTCTTCTCCCCTCCTGACTCCTCAAGCTGTTTCCCCAATTGAGAGCAAAGCCTGTTGTCTGGATGTTTCACTGAGCCAGAGTGCAGTGGGAAAAGCCAAGCTCATCTCCAGGTGAGAGCAGGCCAGGAGAGCAGTCCCACAGAGCAGGCAATCCTTCCTTGCAGGCAGTGGGGCACAGAGGACACGCAGGGCTGCAGTGGGCAGGGGGCTCTGCAGCCCCTGAGCTCCCCGGGGCCGTTCCTGCCTCGCTCTTTGTGACTCAGTGACCACCTCTGGGGAGTGACAGGGCTCAGCGTGTTCACACTCAGCTATCAGCCACTGCCAGGCACTCATACAGACCATAATATGTGCCACAGCACAGGGCCATGCAGAAGGAAAGCTAAACCAAAATAGAGAGAAACCTCTTCATTGCAGCCAATTCATTCTCTGAATACCAAAACGTTTGTGGCCGGTTTGCAGTAATGTTATTCCATTTTTTGCATCCAGTTTGTGTTCCAGTCTTGCACATTTTTCTGTTCCATTTAGAGTGTAGATATTTGACAGGAAATAAAGCCCTATCTGGTCCTCAGAGAGGAAAAGGCCCAGGTGCAGTTCAGTTTAATTTCTGATTCTGGGAAATTCAACATGTAAGTCTTGTCATGTTCAATAAGAACTTTCAGAGTCACAGAATCACAACTCATGCATTTTATTGTAGAAATACAAATTGGGAATCGCCACTATTAAATACACGCACTGGACTAGGTCTAAATATATTTATGAAAAGAGAAGCAAATAAGGAAGCACAATGGGTAATTCATTAAGCTCAATTTCACCACCAGGTGAGCCTATGGACAGAATTTCACCATTGTTCACTCTGAGAAAATCAAAAGAGCAAATCTTAACCAAGAGGTGTTCCCTGCCTTGGGGAGGAGAGCAAAGCAATCCTGTTGTCCTGTCTGCACAGTGGGGTCATATTCCCATCCTCTGCCAGGGAGGATTTGAAATGCAAAATGGATCCTTTTGGGAGAAATGCAGGTGAGGCTGCAGTCAAAATACCTCCTTGCTGCCATGGTGAATGGGGGTGGGCAGCCAGCTGCTGTGGAGATGAGGGATAGCCAGGGTTGGGATTGCAAAGGCTGTGAGTCTTGGGCAGGGGCTGAACACTCAATTAGCATCACTCCCTCTTCCACTGGGCCCAGGCAGAGGGAAAGGGGCTCTGCCTGATGATCCATCACCTCACCAGCAGACTCTCATGCCCACATTAATCCCTTCACCACACAGGGGCTTAGGCATCATTCCTACCATCAGGGCCAAATTATTTTGTTAATAACAAAAATATATCTCAAAGATTTAACTAAATCTAGAAATTATTATAATGTATTTAGCTCATAATAATTTATCTCAAAAGATATGAATGAACTCTTCAACTTGGATGTTGAAGAGTGAACATCAGAATCCTCTACCCTCCCTGGAGAGTTGCATCAGAAATTCAATTACTTGTTCTCTGCAGTAAAAGATCAACATTTTACATGGACTGCAGCTTTAATTAAGGATCCTACTTGATGAAAAACTCACACTTCACACAGGGGAGAATTTTCAGCAGTGCCTTTTCCAGCTTGGGATTACTGAAAATCAGAATAAGAGAATGAACACCTGGAAAAGCATACAAATATATGGTAATAAGGAGTGTCATCATATTTTCATTTTTCAAGGCATAAATTATTGTGAACAGCAAACATACAAAGTTGATGCTGTACATCACTAAGAAGGAGAGGACAGATTTCATGGCTCTGATGTAGGCATCCATGCTGAGGTCCTTCATGGAGCTTGTCTGCATCGTGCGCTTGTGTCTCCAGAGAGAAAACAGAAGGAAAACAGCAGAAAAGATGACTGCAAGGAATGAGACAGCATATCCAAAGCCAATGAGAAAAAAAGATGAGAAGAGATTTTTATCCTTTCTGATAGTTACTTCCCAAAAGTTTTCTTGGCAGGTGGATGTGATGTTGTTCTTCAGCAGGGTTTCATTGATGTCATAGAAAAGGATGCCCATAGCCAGGGCTACAATCTCTGACCCCAACAAGAGCCAGGGCACCATCCGGTCAATTTTTCCTTTCAGGTAGATGAAGAAGCTGTTCCTGAAATTGGCAATTTTTATGCAGTAGAAACCACAAAGACAGGCTGAGACCCACAAGTTGGAATAATAAAAATAGTTTGCAAGTAATGCAAGGAGTTGAAGTATGGGGTAAACATAAAAGTAGTTGGGATAAATTACTGTGATGCAGTTGTATACACAAGAGAAGCATAATAGGCAAATCCTGGAGCATCCCAGCAGCAGCAAGATCTTCTCATTAGAGTTCAGGGTTTTCTTTTGGACCCAGGCAATGCAAAGCACACAAACAATGAAAGCATTTATCCACATGCCAGCAAATGCCTCCAGGGTGATGATGGCCACAGCTGTGGCTCCATATGCAGTGACATTGGATTGCTGTGGAGGTTGAGAAGCTTCCATGGTGTGAGCTGGGGAGCTGAACTGTGCTGGCCAAGGGCGCTGTGGCAGCAGAGCCTGAGGCAGGTCAGTGGCTGCTCTTGGTGGAGTGTCAGGGATGGCAACAGGAGCTTTATAGAGCTGCTGCTGCTGCTGCTGCTGGGGGGGATTTTGGTGCTGCTGCTGTGGGCACAGGGCAGGTGCAGGGATGTAAATGTGCTGGGTATCCCCTTACCTGGGGCCACTCTTGACTATTTGAATGTTGGTTTGGGGGGGCTGTGCGGGATGTCACAAACAGCGGAGATGTTTTTCTGTGATGCAGAGTACTGTGATTTTGATACTGATCCCTTTTGATCAGTGTCAGGCTTCAGGATCTGGGTTCTTCTGTCCCTATTTTGCCTATGGTGATCATGCAGAGCCCTGGCTGTGCTCAGCAGGTCAGGGGACTTGTTGTTCTTTTCAGTCTGAGAGTCTGGGTGCTGCAACCTTCAGCCCACATGCTGGAGAAGTGGAGTTCATTTTGATGCCTCATAGGCATCGAAATCCAGGTTGGTTTTTCCAATGGCATTGCCTTAAGAGAAAATGATGAGACACATATTGGGGCAGGTGATGGGAGACACAGGAAGTAAATGTGGTATTTATAATAAGTTTTATTTGGTGCATATGACGTAAAAGGGTAAAAATCAGACAAGTCACTGTGCCAGGCTTCCCATCTCATCTGCTTGGGAAAGTGAAGGCTTTCAAAGATGGCACCATGCTGAGTTTCCCCCACACTGCAGTGCCCTAAAACTTCCAAATGAATTTAGACCCTGAAAGCTGTGAGGTTTTTCCCAGGCAAGTTGTGTTAAGCTCTGTGGGGCATGGACTGCCCGTGCCCTTTGGGGTACTACAGGACCTGTCCCATTTGGCCTTGCACATCAGGACCACAGTAACCAAAGGGGATCTGATCTGATGCTGTGGTGGAAGCAGGAAAAATGAAAGCCCAAGCAAGAGCTCTATGGCTACAGGAAATGAACCCCCAGCATTTTCTCTCTTCCAAATGATGATAGCCATGTTTTCTGTGGGATAGAACAACCAGCAGGATGTTACATGAATATTCATATCACATGCTCCTACTTGCATTGATTGGCCACCATAAAGACTTGGAATTGTGACCCAGAGCAGTTTTCCATACTGTGCCAGCACTGGGCAGCCATTCCAATTGAGTTGTGTCACGTGTCATGTGTCAGCTTCTCCAGGCTGGGCACATCCTGCATCTGTGCCCATGGGCTGTGCAGGGTGGCTCTGCTGATGGACACCCTGTCCCCTGCAGTGCCAGCTGAGTGGGGCTGGTGCACAGGAGAGACAGGGATTCTGTGCTTCTGTCACATTCTCAGGGGTTTCATGGGGAAATCGAAGAACGGAAGCCAGCATGGTTCACTGGGACTGTGCTGTTTTCTGTGGTAACGTGTGCAAAGTGCTGGATTTTGCCTGCTGAGTCTTGTGGCATGTGAGGTTGGGAGGGATGGATGTTGCACTGGATGTAGGGAATGAGATGGATCTTCCAGGACTTTTTTTGTATAATCAACTGTGGCTTTCAGGTTAAAGCATGAAGTGCAAGAGCAGCAGCAGTGAAAAAGGGGATGTGTGGCTGTTTCTGTTTTTTCAAGTACTTTCATAGGGCAGATGTGTCCAGCACAGCTGCTTTTAGTCTACCTTTGGACCTGAGCTGCTGGTGACAGAAATGATCAGTTCACAGTGGTTTTGCTGTGTTCTTACTGGAGATATTTCATGTTTCACCTGCTGTGATGGGTGACCCTTGTGCAGCTGTTACATTCCCACCCAGCTGCTCCTTGACTCTCACCTACAGTTGGGGCCGGGGTGGAAAATTACATGGAAAACCTCATGGATTGAGATAGGGACAGGGAGGTAAATCACCAGGTAATATCATCAACAGAAGAGTCTTGAGAAGAACAAAATCAAATTCTTTATTGACTATGGGAAATATTGTAGGCTGATAAGAAACAAAGAGAAAATTTGAACCTGCTACCTTCCACCCTCCCCTTCTTCCTCAGAGCAGTTTGACGTCTCTTTCCCAGGTTCTCTATATCTTTCCCCTACATCAGGGATGGGGAATGGGGTTGCAGTCAGTTCATAACAAGGTGTCTCCTCCACTCTGTCCTTGCACTCTTCCCCTGCTCTAGCAATGGCCCCTCCATTGGGCTGCAGTCCTTCAGCATGAGCTGATTCCAGCGTGGCCTCTGCAGGGGCTGCCATCCCTCAGGATACACCCACCCCACCGATTGTGCTGTGGGGTTCTCCTGGGGCTGCAGGTGCCTCACCTTTCCACCACAGACCTCCATGGGCTGCAGGGCACGCTTGCCTCACCGTGGTGCTTTTCACAGCCTGCAGGGGAATTCTTTCTCCAGCACATGGAGCAACCTATCCCCTCCATTCCTTGGCCCTGTCCTTCAGGAATGTTTCTCACAATATTCCTCAGTCCTCCCTGCTGGGATATGTTCCATCCATAACTGGACTTCAATGAGGAGAAGGTCACTGTTCTTTCAGGATTTAATCCTGGAAAACAAAATGAAATCTCCTCAGGGCATGTTTCCTGACCTTTTTATGGAAATATAAATTCAAATCCAAAGGCCTCCTAGCTCCAGAAGGTGGATTAGCATGTTATCAAGTGCCTTTAATTATTTGTTTCCTTGTTTCTGGGCAGTTGCTGTCTAAGGAGATTTGGGTAGTTTGGTGAGGCAGCCTGCTAGAATCAGTGGTTGAGAGGTTGCTCTGGCCTAAATGTTTGCATCTCTCAGTTCAGAAGCAGGGAGGAAGGTTTTGCAGGTGAGATGAGAAATGCACACCTGGCACTGGGTGTCAGGTAAAACGACCCTCTGAGCGTGAGCTGGTAAAAGAAATGACCAGTTCAGGTTCTGCTCTATTCATGCTGGTGTCAAGGAAAGTTTCCTGTCTCACCACCCAGGAGGCCTCTGACAGTCACGCCCCAGCACCAGAGACTGTCACTGCAGGCACCAAAGCCCCTTCACCGTGGGCAGCTGCCCCACTCCACTCCCTGCACACACCATGCTCACAGCCAGACCAGGTTTCCTCTCCAGCTTGGCACTGGCTTTCCCATAGTGGAGTCTCAGGCCTCTGGATCTTTCAAGCACTTTAGTCATGGCACAGTAGCACAGAGGCAGCTCAAGCTGGGTGCCTCTGAGGAGGTAAGCCAAACTATTGGATCCCTGGGATTTTGTGTCCTTCCTGTCTGTGCACATGATGACTGGGGTGTCTTGAGTGTCCAGTCAGCTGGCTGGTGCCACAGGTCCCTGTGCCCTTTGCAGTGCAAGGCCTGGCACCATGCTTGGGACTCCCAGCACTTCCCCACAGCCTGCAGCTCCCTCCCATTGCAGCTGCTGCCTGAGCTGTCTGTACTGATTGTGTTCCTCCCCACTGGAACTATTTCACGTTTCACTCTCATGGGGAGCTGTCCTTGGGCAGCTCTCAGAGCCCCACTCAGTCCCTCCTGGACTCTCACTCTGGAATAGGCCAGGGGTGGAAAATAAGGTGGAACTGCTCATGAGTCAAGACAAAGACAGGGGAATCACTCCCCAGTTATTCTCACAGACAAAACAGACTTGAGACAGAGAAAATTAGTTTAATTTATTGCCGATTGAAAACAGAGTAGGATGATGTAGAACATGCACACAACTAGAATATTTGATCTTCACCCCCCAGTAATCTCAGCCTTAATTTCACACATTTAGGGATCATCTAGCAGCTCCTCTCCTAAGGAGTCGAAGAAACAGGGAATGTTGTTGTCAGTTCATTAAAAGTTGTCTCCTTCATTTTTCTCCTGCTCCAGCATGGCAGCCTCCCATGTCCTTCAGGACTTCTCTTTTACCAGAGAAGACACAATGGTCGCTGATGAGAAGAGCAGTGTCTAGTGTTGGGACCATTGGAGTGCCTGGAATTGGCTTTTCCCAGCATGGGACAGCCTTGACCTCACCTGGTTGAGACCCCACAGGCTCCCAGCTGCAGCTCCTGGCCCAGGCACCCTGTACATTTGCCTGTGGGTCATTGTGAGATGAAGCTGTGGCTTCATTCCACACTGCACCTTGCACAAAACCCACCTTCCTGGGGCTGTAAGTGAGCCAGAGTGCAGTGGGAAAAGCCAAGCTCATCTCCAGGTGAGACCAGGCCAGGAGAGTAGTCTGTGACCCGGGGCCACTCTCAACTATTTGAATGTTGGTTTGGGGGGGCTGTGCTCCACAAACATCGTAGATGTTTTTCTGTGATGGAGAATGTTTTGATTTTAATACTGATCCCTGTTTGATCAGTGTCAGGCTTCAGGATCTGGGTTCTTCTGTCCCTATTTTGCCTATGATCATCATGCAGAGCCCTGGCTGTGCTCAGCAGGTCAGGGGACTTGTTGTTCTTTTCAGTCTGAACCTTCAGCCCACATGCTGGAGAAGTGGAGTTCATTTTGATGCCTCATAGGCATCGAAATCCAGGTTGGTTTTTCCAATGGCATTGCCTTAAGAGAAAATGATGAGACACATATTGGGGCAGGTGATGGGAGACACAGGAAGCAAACGTGGTATTTATAATAAGTTTTATTTGGTGCATATGACGTAAAAGGGTAAAAATCAGACAAGTCACTGTGCCAGGCTTCCCATCTCATCTGCTTGGGAAAGTGAAGGCTTTCAAAGATGGCACCATGCTGAGTTTCCTCGACACTACTGTGCCCTAAAGTTTCCAAATGAATTTAGACCCTGAAAGCTGTGAGGTTTTTCCCAGGCAAGTTGTGTTAAGCTCTGTGGGGCATGGACTGCCCGTGCCCTTTGGGGTAGTACAGGACCTGTCCCATTTGGCCTTGCACATCAGGACCACAGCAACCAAGGAGATCTCATCTCATGCTGTGGTAGAAGCAGGAAAAATGAAAGCCCAAGCAAGAGCTCTATGGCTACAGGAAACGAACCCCCAGCATTTTCTCTCTTCCAAATGATGACAGCCATGTTTTCTGTGGGATAGAACAGCCA